ATCTGTTATTAAGCGGTTTTAATGTTTTGCGGGGCTTGGAACTTAGGGACTTGTTGTACCTGATGTTATATTTTATGGTTTCTTACTGGTAAACAAGCTTGGACAGTTTTCTTTATATCAAATATGGATGTGGATTTTTTTTTTTAGTTACTTTTATATTTTGAGTTATAGCATAAGGTCTCAATGAGTTCATATAAGAAAAATGAATAGGAGTTTTTCAATTTTCAAGCACTCTCTCTCTAACAGGGCCCCAAATCTCCATGTTCCCTCGCAAAGAAGCAGAGCCCTTCTTCTCATGCCGCCTCCTCCTCCTTGTAGGGCCTTCCGCGAGGGCCGGGGCCATTCGCCGCTGACTGCGTCGCTCTCCTCTCTCAGAGCCGTGGACCCTCCCACTGGTATAGGGTTTGCCGTATCCTCGTTGTTTGGCACATGTGTCTCGGTGCGAGGCTTTGTGGTTCTGAGGTGAGCCTCATCAGAGTTTGTCGGGGTTGAGGTATGGCTCCCTCTCCCCTCGCTCCGCCTTCCTGGTTTTGGTGGTTTAGGCATTTGGGTTGGTAAGTCGTGGGGCTGTTGGCTTAGATGTGGGGATTTTGGTGGTCGGTTGGTTGGTCATTTTGGGCTAGTGGGCGTTGCCTGTGAGAATTGGGGTCGTCCTCCGACCTCATCTCCAAGGGTGGTCGGTCCGGAAGAAGTTTCGGGTTGTCTGGTGAGGTTCCAACTAGTCATGGCTACACAAGAGTTTTTGGAGCAGTGCTCGAGCCAGAATCCTTGTTGAGTGGGCGACTGTCTTGGGTGTCAGACCCGGTGTGCAGTGGTTTATTTCGCATGCGATGAGAAAGATGTTAGTTTATTTATCTGTTGTGTGTTGTGTTGTGTGTTGTGTTACGTGTTTATTGTAGTTTTATTGTTGTTTTAGTTGTTGCTTCTCCTTTTGTAGGAGATGTATTCTCCCTCTTCAGGAGTTCTTTATTTTAGTGTTTGGTGTTTGTCTCGTGAGTACGTTAGTGTCGTCTCTTTAGGCTCCCGATCGCGAAGGTCTCATGCTAGATTCAACTATATGGCATCATCAACATCAACATACCCAGTATATTCCCAACAAGTTGGGATCTGGGGGGTTAGTTGTACGCAGACTTTACCCTTGTAATTATACAAGGAGGTTGTTTCCATAGCGACCCAAGGTGCGTTGCGTCGTTTGATATATTTTATTCTAAAAACTTCACTAATAGAAGAAACACTAGAATTTAATTGAGCCACTTTGATCTAGTCCATTATTAGCACTATGCCAGGAGAACAGGAGAATTGTCAACAATGACTCTTCCAGCTCCATATGCTATGGACATTAGATTCAACTATATGGCAATTTCACTAATTTTAATTGTTATCTAATTATGTATTTTTATTTAATATATTCTATCTGTTTTGAAAAAAAAAAAAAAGGACTATTCATTAGTGGACATAAAATTTGTTCATGTCAAGCTCAACCGTAAATAAGAATCATTACATTTAAAAGCTAAAAACATGCAACTCAAAGGTGGAATAGTTTTAGTTGAATGTATTATTATGGTGGAAAATTTTGCCTTGGGCGTTATGTTGCAACTGCAGTAACTTTAAAATTCTAGATAATTATTCCAAATGCTAAATAAATTGAATATAACACGATCTTTTTAAGACTTTGAATTCCAAATGAATATATCACGAGATTAAGACTTCAAAATTTCAAACGAATAAACCAATATTCTTAATAAAATCTCAAAACTTGTTAAGAATTCAAAATGAATACAATACACCCTTATTATATTCAACACCTTTAACTCATATTTTTCTCCTTAAAAATAAATATAGATAATGATTCATTTTCATTTTGAAGGTCATCGAATCAACACACCAATGCTGGTCGAACCTTCCATGCAGGATTATTGTATTTGGTAACATGGACACGGTGAAGGCTTTATAGCTTAGGTCTGATTGGTCTCAATTTTTTATGGCTATATCACCTTTGATCCCCTAATTATGAGCAATTTTTGTGCTCTTCTTGTAACTAACTATTAAACACTATACTCACTAGTGCTCTTCTTGTTATGAATATGTAACTGTTCATTCAATCCACAGGATACAGCTCAACGTGAGAACCATGAAAGTTAGACACCGAGTCGAATAATTTTTGAACTGATTCCGAACAGAAACGCATAAAAGATCATTCAATTTCAATGTTCAATGTCTGAACAGAGCAACAAGAGAATCCTTAAGGATACAATAAGTTTTTTGAGGAGAGTAGCTGGAAGAAACCAGAACATGCAATACCCAGTTAACGATGAAAAGAGCAAGCTAGCATTGGCAGAAAACTCCATAAACGTGTCACCAATAACGGAGGGAAAAAAATGAGAAACAGAATTACTAATTCCCAGGCAACTGATAAATAGAATTTACTGGCCAATGATAATTCCATATTATAAAAAAACATCTCATTATCATAATCATACAATTAAACGAGTTTCATAGTTCAAGTGAAAACAAGGGATATCGAGAATACGTACCAACAATGCACGATTCCGTTACCACCACAAAGCCCAAAAATAGACAATCCGGGTAAGCAGAGCACGAGTTGACAACTCGGGCAGAGGCTCAACCAGCGCGCAAGGTCACCAACATCAAAACTCAACGCCCGCCCTTTTCAAACCCGATCCGAGACCTGCCCGACCCGCCATAGTCATCCCTCATGGACCCTGCCCCGGCCTTCAGAGTACCCCCACTCCCCACTTTCTCCATAGCTTTCTTACCAGTTTTAACCTCTGTCAAGAACTGGTCCAAACCGAACGGGTCTTCCTCAGGCGCATCCCGCTCGAACTCGACCGGCCCGTCCCTGGGGCCCGCCTTCGACGTGCCAGCAAATCCCTTGTCAGCCTTAAATCGCTCGGTCTTCATCAGCTTCTCATACTGCTCGTCCGCCCCACCGTACATCTCACCGTCAGCGTCCTTCTTAGGCCGGTACAGAGTATTCAGAGTAGCCTGAGAATTGAACAAGCCCTTATCGTATATATTGTACGAATCATCAGTGGCAAAACCGGAATCCATCCCTTTCTCTTGGTTAAAGAGCCTCTGGTCATACATGACCTCTCCACCTCTACCCCCAGTCGAGGCCATCCCAAGTGCAACTTTCTCACTAATGTCTCGGTCCCTGTCCCGAGTGATCTTGCTCTTCTTGCCCATGGCAGCATCTTTGGCCTCCAGCCTCCTCTCCCTCTCCCTCTCTTTCCTCCGCTCCTCGCGGATTTTCTCTCTCTGCAGCCTCTCCTCTCTCTCTTCCCTCGTCTCTTTCGGTAAGACCTTCGCACGTTCATAGTCGACGCTCATATCATCGTCATTATTAGTCCTCTCTGACGGCATAGCCACGGCTGCAACACCTGTCCTTTCAGATCGTGCCTTACGGGCCAACTCCCGAAGCTCCATCTCTTTCTTCTCCTTTTCTTTCATCATCATCTCCTTCTGAACCTTGGACCGTACAGCAACGGCCTCCCGAGCCTTTTGTTCAGCAACATATAGAGCCTCGGACAATTTCGCGAAATTGTCATTGATCTGAACATCCTGGAGTCCCCGGCCGTCAGCCGCCAGACGCTTGTCGAGGGGTATTGTGTATCCTTTGGGATTCTTCCAGTTGGAGATGCATGGAGGGATCTTCCAGTCCTGCTGATCCTTCACTGTTACGGGCCGGGGAGGAGAGTGCATGACCGGGACAGGTGGAGAGCCTGAGGCCTTAGGGACCCTCTTGTGTTTGAACTTGGGAGGCTCGAGAGGGTCCACGGGCATCTCCACCATGCGGATGATTCTCTCCTTAGCACCTGAATTAAAGGCAGCCGACTGCTGGGAGGGCTTGTACTTGATAAACTTGGAGTCCGAGGATTGTGTGGGGACATTTTTCGGCTGAGCGGCACTTAATCGGACATTCACGATTTTCTCGAGGGCTGCTTTGGTTTCTTGAGTGGTATCCTCAATTTCTTTCTGCTTCTCATCCACGTCCATCTCGTCCTCTTTCTCCTTATCCTTCACGAAGATCGGGACAAGGTCCGAGTGCTCAGAGTAAACAATCTTCTTCGAGTTCTCATTCTGCCTCACAATTGAGTCGTATCTCAAATTACCGTGCTCATCCACGGTGAGGGGCAAGGTCTTCCCACCAAGCTTCTGGTTTGTGCTTCGGCCCATACCAAGAGGATACTGAGCGTAGTGGATTTCGGGGAATGCACCTCCATCTCCAAAATCCTCAGGCTTTGAGGGCTTAAATCCAGCCCGTTTCAGGTAAGGAGGCACTTGCTTGGCCTTGGGAGCTTCAGATTCCTCGGGTTCAGACAGACTGAACCGAGTTTTGAACCAGGGGTCGTTTGAGTGGTCATAATTGGTAGTTACGGAAGATTTCGCTGGCGGAAGAATGTCTTTCAAGGCCACCATCTTCAAAATCTGATCCCAATGTCAGCAATTCTACAACCCCAGCAAAGTACATAAATAAGTAAATACTAAACAATAACATTTATACCAGAAAACATTGAAATCAGCAGCTTTTAAACCTTTTAAGGAAGATATGCTACAAAATTTACGAAAAAAATAAAATAAAATATGACTTTAATTCCCGAAAAAACTAAATAGAAAAGCATATTTTTTTTTTTTTCAAAAAAAAAGGGACTCAGGAAACATCATACACGACCAGCAGCTTAAACAGATAAACAATTTCTTTAATTCCTGAAAAGTGAAAACAGACACTGAAATACACGTAGAGAAGAAAAATAGAACAAACTAATATAGAAGTTGAGCTTAAAAGGTAAGAATGATAAAAAAACAAACGAGTAGGAGAAACCAAGCTTAGTTTGACAAAAGTAATACGTCCGCACATATAAATAAAAGTTTCGGAAAGATTTAAATACATCAAACCATACAAACACCTATGATTATCATAAGAGCATCGCATGACCAATGATAATCAATCAAAGTAAACAGAAAACAAAAAAGCAGGCAAACTTAGCCCTATTCAAACAGAATAATACAAATCAAGTTGCTTCTGCCTCTAAGCTCCACCACAGCTAGAGAGAGCTCGGCCGGCAGGTAGATTAATAGGCCTACTGAGGCAACATTCGAAAATTGGACCAAACACACGACCAAAAAAATTAAAAAAAAAAATTAAAAATTGGACCAAACACACAACATAAAAATGGGATTATCTGACAATTTTATACATCATCATCAAATTCGAAAAATCCATAGGTTGCAATATAAAATCCTTTCATAATTAACAATCCTACAAACATAAATAAAAGCATCAGATCACGAAGACCTCAGATTCAAACAAGCTACACGAACCCTAGAAATTTCAATCAGAAAGTTCCAAATATCACCAAGCAAAGCAATCCTTTGAAAGAGGAAACCAAGTTTCTCGCTGAATAACACTTCGTAACAGCTTCATGGATCCTTTTGCTTCTCAAACTATAGTTTCATGCCATTTTAACAAAGTAAACACAATTTCGCAACAAATTTGGGTTCTGTCAATTGGGAAATTAGGGTTTGGATAGCTGGAACTCACCTCCGTGGAGCTTCGGCTGCGTATGCGATGGAATATGGGACCGATGTTCTTCGTGCCCGGCTATTCACTGTGTTTTGTCGAGCTTTCTCTTCGTTCGATCCCTTCGGATTGTGCACGTTGACTTATTCAGGGCCAATTATATATATGGGCCTGAACGGGCTGTACACGTAATTAGACTGTGTTTGGTAGCAAATAAGCTAGCTTATAGCTTATTTGACTAATTTATAAGTTTCTTATAATAAGGTAGAACGAGTCTATTTAAAATGCTCGAGACTGTTTTGGGTAGCTTTTCAAATAACTTCGTTGAAATTTTTATTTTTGCTAGCTTATCAGCTAATATTATCAAACATTTTTATCATATAAGGTAGTCTTTCAGCTATAAATTATAAATTACAAGCAATAAGCTCGAAAATTACTAATAATTTATAAACTAGTTTATCAGATAATTTTACCAAATATAACATACATCTTAATACAAGTCTCGCACCCCGACCGGCTGGAAATCGCCTCATGCTTGTTCTCCTCGCCGGTTGAACACGGAACCTGCACGAAACTCCCACACCGGAGGTGTTTTCCGGTGAAGAGCCTCCAACGCTCAAGTCAGATCTTGAGAGAAAGAAAGTATATCTGTAAATATATGAGAGTATGAAAGATTATATCGAAAATGAGGATTCTCGCCCCTATTTATAAGGGTGAGTTACCTGAGCTGCACGCGCGAGCAGGGCGAGTTCAGCCAACTGTCCTCTGCTCGTCCGTACAACCGCGCGCCTCCACTATCCTTGGTGTCAGGAAACGCGTCCCCTTTGTCAGAGTTTGTTATAGCTATTGGCCACTCATAGCCCGCTGCGTGTCCTCCTTTTCACGTGCTGAAGATTCCCCTGCGCGCTCCGACGTTCGACCAGTTCTACGCGACCACGTCTTCTTCGATCGTCCTCTCTTGACCAGCTCCTCGAGTGACTCGTATTTGTCGACCACTTCCGATCTTCTTAGTCTCTGCTGCCTACTCTCTGTCTTTTGCGGCAGGTGTCTTGGTCCTGCTCGACCATATCATTCGATCCTTTTTCATTCGGTCTGTCCTTATTTAGGTAATCCGACAAACCCGACCTATTTTCTCTGATTAACCCCGCGAACCGGTCTAGCGTATAATATCCCATATCACATCTATTATATTACGTTATTGATCACTAGTAACCCACTATTTTGACCCTCTAATTCTTGGGCTTGAGGCACCTATCACATGGGCTTCATGTATGGTCGTAATGAAGTTATTAAACGAAGGCAAAATTGCACCTGACATTACGACTTTATCGACTTTTTTGTTTCGGTCACCACTTTGGGACCTTGACAATTCGATAGCTAGTCTTTTGATATTTTGCAAGACCAAGCATTGACCAGATTATCGGTCGACCAATGCCAACTTGTCTGATCATTTAATCCAACGCAGCAGTGACGTGGAGGACGTGTCTCGGGCAACATAAACACCTCATCAGTGCGACGTTGTGTCACCTCTCAAAACATGCTATAAAAATGAAAAATCCCCAAAAAATCAATAGAATCCCTAAGTTTCGATGACATCCAAACTCACTTCGACCAATTTTCTCTCTGCAAATTCAAAATCCTGTGAGGAACCCTAGATTGCCTGTAATTAAAAATTCTCTGAAACTGTTCTAATGTCTGTTGGTACAACTGTCTTGTTCTAATGTTTCTGAATTAAATTGTTCTAATAAAGTATATATATATATATATATATATATATATATATATATAATAACGTGTTCTATATTTATCTCTGGTTGTTTAAGATTGCTCGAGAATTAAATTGGATTAAAATAACTAATATATTCTCTGGTTATTTAAGATGGCTGGAGAATTAAATTGGATTAAAATAACTAATATCTTTATGTCAAATTTGCTCTATATCAAATTTATACCAATAATTATATGTATAACAATTTTCAAATATTTTTCTGGTGAAATGTTATATGTTAATGGTAATAATAATTAATATATCTATAACATTTGAGAAATAAAAAGTATTGATATTGAAAAACTATAACGATCGTAAAAAAAATTAGATGCATATATAGACTACTGGCATATTTCAATCCACTTATTTTCAAACTATTTTTAAAATATTCATACAAAACACTTAAATTATGCATAATGTGATAATATTCCGTTTCTAATATATTTTTAGAATATTCATTCAAAACCTTAAATTATCTAAAAAAATAACATAGTCTAGAAATTCATTGGTGATAAATGCAAACAGTATAATATTTTCTTAAACATCTTATTGTGCATACATCATAAGACTAGTGTAATGTTTAATAAATATTTTTTATAATTATTTTATTCTTTATGTATTCATAATCATGAGTTTTATCACATGTTTTCTCAATCAAATATGAATAATAGTGAAGTGTGGTATTATTACATTATTTCAATTCTGAGACATGAAAGGCTAATTGTATGTATAATTTTTTTTATATGTTTCTGAATATATTTTTCAATTCGGTTAGTGTAATTTTTAATTTTTAATAAATATTTACTTTTTGATTTGTCATGTATACGAATTGATAGTTTATAATTAATATTAATATTTATACATTTCTGATCAAAATTTAAAATAACATTATGCTCTAATTTGTAAATTGTAAAATATATTTATAATATTGAAAAATTATATAAGTTTATAACAAGGAGAACATTCTCGGAATATTTTTTTTTGGATTTGAGTATGAATTTTTCGGGAGAAAAATTAGTGTTTGATGAGATAACACTGCTTCAAAATGAGTTCAAATATGTGTTTACGGCTGGAGATGGTATAACAATCGCCATTGTCACCCTTGTGTGACACGGAAACACAAATGTTAGGAATACTGGGAGAAGGCGATCCTAATCAAACTAGGAGCTTGCTGATTTCTTTATATAAGATTCTGTAAAAACTTGTTCTGTAGTACCTTTGCTATTACCTATTCCTAATCAAGTGTTTGTTCTGCTGTACCTTTGGTATTACCTATTCCTAATCAAGTGTGTGTATCTGAGAACGAACCACGAAAACACTTTTTAGTTAGCTGCAAACTAAGAGCTTGTTGATTTCTTTATCAAGTGTGTGTATCTGAGGACGAATCTTGATTTCTTTATACAAGGGCTTCTGTAAAAACTTGTTCTGTTCTTTCCGTTATCTTTGCTATTATCTGTTCCTAATCAAGTGTGTATGTGTGCTTTTTAAATGGTATTTTGCAACCTATACAGATTATTTGAATATGTAGTTCTCATCGGTAACAAAAGTGGTTCATCAAACCACTTTCCAATTAACAACGAAGAAAAAATCCCTTTTATGTTCCTGATTTAACTAATTTTCTCAAATGCCTCATGTAATGAATACCCAAAATTTATGAAGCAAATGACTCCAAACTACTAGAAATTTAACTCCATGCCTAATTCACTATCAACATCATATTGTACAATAATAAGAACTTTGAGTTTGCCTCTCCTTATCTCCCTACCATTATATTTACACTCGCACTCCCATCCTCAACAAATCTCGTACGAACAACACAGAATCGAGACTTTCAAGTTGTTACTTCAACTTCCCTACAATTATATTTACACTCACACTCTCATCCCCAACAAATCTCCTACGAAGAACACATAGAATTTGAGACTTTTAAGTTGTTACTTCAACGCTAGATTTTAAGTGATCTAGATGTCCCGTTGTTTACGTGAAAATACCATTTGAAGCTTTGTGAAATAATATTTGTAGAAATGTAAGATTTGAAAAAAACAGACAGTACGAACAAGTGAGATTCTCAATTGTTCCTTCAATGCCATATTTTCATTTTTAGTACACTATATTGGCCATTTTCTTAAAAATGTCAATCATATATGACGTCTTCAAGAATGGTATACTAAGTTGTCATTTTAATCAAAACTCGTACAAAAGAAAACATATTGTACTAAATATGACAACTAAAAACAATCACTTTTAGTATATGTTGGTTGTACGAATTTTGATTAAATTGACAGCTTAGTGGACCATTCTTGATGACGCCCTAGATGATAAACTTTTTTTCGGAAAATGACCAACTTGGTGAACCATTTTTGAAAATTTGCCTATTTTCAACATTGTTCTAAAAGTCGGCCTAGGCGGCCGCCTAGGCGGCGCCTAGGCACTAGGCGGTGCCCGGGCGCCTTCGATTTGCACAAATCGGCCAAAAAAATCGGCCAGGCGGCCCTAGGCGCTCCTAGGCGGCCTTGGCGGGCTCAGCGGTCAGGCAGTTAGGCGACGCCTAGGCGGACGTAGGCGGACCTAGGCGCTCCTACGCAGCCTCGGCGACAATTTTTCAGTTTTTTTTTTATTATTTTTTAAATACTAATTACATTATTTTGTCCTCATGTTTTCTTTAAAATATATTAATATTATTATTTAGACTTAGGTGTGTCGATTTATTATAAGTAGAGATAGTTTTATTTTGTAAGTAGTTAAATAAATAAAAAATAAGGTATTTAATATTGATTTATAGGCCTCGACTAGACGCCGCCTAACCCGCCTAGGCGCTCTAGGCGCTAGGCGCTGGTCGAGCGCCTAGCGGGCGCCTAGCGTCATCTTCACTCAACACAGACTATATGTGATATTGATTAAAAAAAAAAAAAATCATCCAATTAATCGAAATTATATGTTCTATTGATATAGAACAATATTAAGTGAGTTTATGAATCGAAACTAGACGTCTCACTGAAATAAATGAAATCTAAACAAGTTTAGTGATTGAAACTATATGCGACAATGCGATAAAACATAATCCAAACAAATTTATATAGGAATTAATCGAAATTATATGTACTATTGAGATAAAACAATACCTAAAATGAGTTTATATATCGAAACTATAAAGTCTCATTGAGATAAAACAGAATTTAAACAAGTTTAGTAGTCAATCGAAATTATATATATGTACTGTTGAGATAAAACAATATCCAAACAAGATTAGAAAATCGAAAAAATATGTGACATTGAGATAGAACAATATGTAAACAAGCTTATGATCTCGAAATTAAATGTCGTCACGGAGTAACAAAACAAGTTAATTTTGGAATCCAGAATATAAATTTCATTGAGATAAAACGGAATCTAAACAAGTTTAGGAATCGAAACTATAAATCTCAGTGAGACAAAACAAATAGATCTAAACAAGTTTAGTAATCGAAACTATATGTCACGTCCGTGCGCGGCATTCGTTTCCCAGCATAGGTCTTCACGAAGTCTTCTCTTTCTTCGCCATTTTTGAACCACACGATCCCTTTACTTTTCCCGCTATCTTCATTGTGATTTATAACCTCCACTCCCTTAATCTGATGGCAAAAAAACAATTTATATATGTTAATTAATTGGACCTTTTTTTTTTTCTATAAGAAAAGGCAATGCAAATTTACGATATGTAGCTAAATATATAATATTTAAAAAAATGTAATCGGATTAAAAATAAAAGGGATTGAAAAAAATAGGGACTAAAAAGAAAATAATGTTACCTTTGATTTATATCTATAGAAGCACTTGTAGTATAAATAGGCTTCCCTCATCCAAGGCATCGTCAAGTTATCAACCTCAACAAAGCAAAAATTGCTCCCAAGTTTATCTGCAAAATAATCAAAATTAAAAACGGTTTAATTAAAATAAATGCACTAAATTGTAATAAATTAAAAATTGAATCTCATCTGCACTAATAAATTACCGGAGGATTTCATCGAGTAAGGCGCGGGCCGAAAAATCTCGACCCGAAAGCCCGAATTGATCTTCTCCCAAACCTTGACCTCATAGAGCCGCGAGTCGCCGGAATCCTCTCCGGCCGCCACCGTCATGTAGTACATGGCGCCGGCCGTGGGTTCCACGTTGAGGTTCACAATCTTCAAAAACTCGAGAGTGCTCCCGAGGCTTTTTCGGTTGTGTTCCTCCACCGCGTGCCTGGCGGCAACCTCCGCCTTCCGGTGGATTTCTTCGCCGGAGAATTCTCCGAGCATCGGCCGGATGCATCCGAAAATAACCGAACCGTCGCGTGTGGGGGTTACGTAGAAGCCCTCGCTATTGTTGACGTCGTCCATGTACTCGTGGTAGGCATCGTTGACCGCCATTGACCGATATTGGAATAATGTTTGTGTTTTATTTTGGGAAGAAAAAATTAGTTGTATGCAATATTATGAGGTTAATTTAAAGGGTATATATAGTGGGGAGTTTGTATATTAGGAGTTGCCTTGGGAAGAAAGGAATGAAATTAAGTTGTATGAGATTTAGGTTTAGTTAGCGTGCAAGATTTTTGGTTAGTAATAGGAAAGGAAAGGTTGTTTATGTATTGTTTACGTAGAGGAATTGTATTTACTTACCTTTTAATAGAATAAAAGTTGAGGAAAATGATGCTACAGTCCCGTTACGGAACTATTCCGTCGAGAATTGTAACCATTAGTCGTGGATAGTTGATCTAACGGTTACAAACGCTGACGAAATTATTCCGTAACAGGACCGTAGAATTTCCCACAAAGTTATACTTGAACTATACCTAAAGGGACTAGTAAAAAAGGAAAGTGTGTTCGAAAATGTGTATTATGTATTGTGTACGTTTGTTATGTAATTGAAGTTGATTTAGGAAAAAAAAAATATATAATATGTACAATTAATAGGCCGTTTTCTATTTTTGTCCACTGCTTGTTGAGATTGTAATTTTGGTATGTAAAATTTTAATTTTTTGTCCATTGTCTAAAAAAAAAATAATAACAGCATAAATATTGAGACTGTAATTTGGTATGTAACTTTTAATCTTTTGTCCATTGTGTAAAAAAAGACGGATCTTTTGTCCATTGTGTAACTTTTAATCTTTTGTCCGAAAATTCGGATCTGTTCGGTGCGATTTTTCGGCTTCAGCTCGGTTTTGCTCACCCCTACAAACAACCGTAAATTTTGAGACTTTCGAGTTGTTCAACGACGATTGTCGTGGATCAGAAAGTCATATGACAAAATCAAAAAGTCCGTTGGATATATCGGAAAAATATCTTCTACTTGATATAATCCTGAAAAATGATTTTTTTTGTTCTTTTTTTCGTAACGAGACTATTGAAATTGACACAAGGAGAAAACAAAACAAAACAAAAAAAAAAATTGTAAGACATTTGCTCGAGCCATGACACATGAGAGTAAAACACAGAAGAGAAAGCAGGACATGCTGGTAAATTCCCACACCTATATATGCCCTTACTGTTCTTGTCACTTAGAAAAGGGCAGTCAAACTCCTGCTTAGAAAACTCTATCAGATGCTCGAACTGCTTGGAAAACTCTCGGTACCATACAAAAGAAAGACGCATATATAATACAAGGGATTTAGGGCAAGTAACATATATAGTACGTTCTCGAGATACTGTTAGCTGTTATAAGTAACTGTAAGCTCTTTAAATAAGAGTTGGCATTTTTATATCTCCTGTGAATTATTTATCAAACTGAAAGCTTTTCTTAATTCTTTTGACTATGGCTATGTTTTTTAGTCATTACTTGGTTTTATGTTTGAATGAAAATCTTTTATGTGATTGTGTTTTATTTTCTTGTCAGGTTTTGATATACTTTGAAAAGTCTGTTAAAATAAACAGAAATTCATTATATTTCATGTCTTACAATAAATAAAATATTATATAAAGTGGTAATCACATAAGAAGATGTTAATGCTTTTTTCGGCGTTTATCCAATTCCCGCGTACCAACCCCTTACACAATTCCCGACATACCAACCCCTTACAAAATTAATTAACATAATTATTAATACAAACACAATATGAACTAAGATACAACACTTCACTTATATATCAACATCAAACTATCCTAACTAATTTATTAATACACTCTCTTTTAATCTTTAGATGCTTGGATACTTTGCAAATGAGATGATTTCCTCTATATATAGTGCCACCTCCTCCAAAGAATTCTCTAAAACTTATAATGTCTTAGAAACTCTCTACAACCTATAATATTTTAGGGCATTAAAGACACTTCTACAGAGCTCCTACTTCCTACCTACACATATGTCCTAGAACTATCTACATGATTTTTTTCCCTATCTGCAGAGCTCTACAATGTCCTAGGATGTTCATGTCTCCACTTATCCTTTCAGCTGAGGTGAGGACGAACGACTTACACTACTGCTATTACTACTCTCCCTTTACACTTATTTTTTGTCGGTTCGATCATTTACGAAAATAAAGGATCATCACTTGGGACGACTGATAATGTGCCATATGGTGTACAACCAATTTTCTGTAAACTCCAAGCTTCTGGTCATCCGGGGCCAATAAAGTGAAGATGAGCGCAAAATAAAGCATTAGCTGCTCCAAATAATAATAGTCATGCATGCTCCTTGAACATATGAATTGCTTGACACCCACGTATATGTATATATCCCAACACGCAAATGTTTTAATATTATTATTTTTTTCTCCTTTTCATTTTGATTACAAAATAATAATTATTTTGATATTTTCATTGACAGGAAATGTCAAATCTTGTGCTCTTTTTCAGTTTTATGTAAGAAAGGAAGTAGAAATTGGATAAATTTTAGATTTGGAAATTGGTGTATGAGTTTGAGCTAACAAAGAGAAGATATATATAATTTGGTATTTGTTTGTTTTGTTGATATAATTAATAATGTATATTTATCTTTTTGTGTGTGATTGCTTGATGATTTTTTTTTTTTTTACTTACTTTCTCTACTTAATGTAAACTGGATGGCGATGCCCGTAGTAGAGGTTCGTAAGTACGGTGTGTGGCTTTTGGCTATGAATGTGAGTGATCTGCATTTGTTCATTAACCACAACTGCTTATGATTTACTGAATTTGCACCGCATGCCGAATTATATGGTTGCAGTTTCCATGTTTTCATGTCGAAGGGTGTGTGGATATGAACTTTATAAATTTGTCACTTTCCCTGTTGTGAGCGTTATATCAACAGAATATTAGTAGTAGAAGAAGATATCAAGAACTCTAGAGAAAGAGATGATGAGTTGTTTCATGTTTTCCTTGATGCTGTCATTAACTTCTATGAGAAGGGTGATTTTGTTGCATCTCAGTTGCTAAGCATAGAGAGCTACCTTTTAAAGGTGTTGCTATAACAAAGCATTAATTATTTTTCCAACTTTGTTTGTTTATCAATTAATGCTAAAAATAATTTTGAGTTATCAATAAATAAAGATACAATTCATGAAATCGAGTATCTATTCTTTCTTTCAAGTCAAGCATAAATTTTTTATATTTTTTTATGGTTCGTCTTGTTAATACTCGAATTCAATTAGATCGTCGAGGTTCAAGCTCGACTCGTTAATATTAATTAAAGATCTGAACTCGAGCTCAGCTACTGGCTTGTTTTGTTAACGAGTCGATCTCCTCAACTCGTTAATGTTAGTATATGTGTCCTAGAGACAATCAATGTGGGACAAATGTACTTGATCACATTCATATTATATTTGATGATATTCGTGGTTTTGCATTGATTAATGAATTTTTTTTATTGTCTGTAATTTATTAATTAAATGCTCCATTGAGTTAATACTGTCATTAACAGAGTGAGATGTTAATCGATAGAGTATAACTCTTAAATTGCCTCAATCGATGATCATTAAGAAAGGGATATTAATGATACGCTATAGATTGACATGTGGTCTGCATCACATTCTTCGAGAATATAGTATGTCTCACTACTATGAGTAATTGTTATTCGTGACGGACACATGGATACTTTAGAGAGTATTGGTATACCCTACCGATAAACCATTTGTTTATGTGTCTATGGGAGTAACGGTGTGTAGAATGGTGTAATAGTCCTTTGACTTGAGGTCAATACGCAATTCATGTATAGAGTGATTTACTTAGACCTAGTCCAATGCTTACGCCCTTATGGGTAGACACGGGCTTGTGTTGGGTAGATCATGATATACATGGAATTGGTAG